CCTAACACTTTTGCACAGTACTATATATATATATATATTTGTAAACAAATCCTTATGATATATGATCTCTTAAAACTGTTTTCTGGGTAAGTTGATGATGTTACAATATATTAATTGCAAAAACCATGTTTTTAGATCTTGAAGAGTCAGTTACTGAACAACAGCTCTCAACATTTTGTAAGCTTGGGATTTATGATGACAACCTAAGAATCTTTCATGGTGTTCATAAAATAAAAACTGGAGATGAGGTTCCAGACGGAGGAAGGATATTATTTCACTGTGATCCAGTTGGAAAGAGTCGATTATATGGCAAGAATGAAACTTACTGTAACAAAGGAAGTTGGATGGACAAGGTGTTTCCTACCTGTGGTATGTGAGTCATTACATAAAAGCAATTAAGTATTTTTTTGTCATGCTGTTTTATGCTATTATTCCCTGAACACAAACCATTGAAAATATTAAGTAGTGTTCATAACCATCAAATATTTCCAAACAAGTAAAAACTAAGTTCTTATAAAAGTGAATTGTACTTTTTACAAATTGAAAACTTTCCCATTGTAAAAACAAATACTCATTTTAAAATTATGCTGTATTGAATTCTAGCGAAGTGTCACAGTCTTGCTTCTTTTAATTGCACACCACATGCACTAAACAGTATTTCCTCTAAACAGGCTACTAATCATGGTAGTGCCTAGTATGTAGGGATGGGCCAATTAAGAAAACAATGGCTGCCATATTCAATCTATTACTCCATAATGATTACATATAATTCCTAAAATTGAGTTATAACCTTATTTCAGCACCTAATTGCCATTATCAAGTGTTTCACAGCTTGTGAGACTCTGAATGTTATTGAAAAAGTGTTGCTAAAGTGCAGAACTAGCTAATAAGTCAAAATGTTCTTCTTTCTTTATTTTTCTCTCATACTAGCCAAGAAATGAGTGAAGTTTTTTGCAATGGCTTTAGTATGACAGTAAAACATTTTAAGAGTACTTGGGAACAGGCTATCACTAAGCATGGGAATGCTTAGTATCATGGATAGGCAAAAAAAAAGGCTGCCTCATTCAATCTACTACTCTGTGATGCTTACAGATAACTGCGAAAGTTTAGTTATAGCACTATTTGAGCACCTAATTGCCATTATTGAGTGTTTCACAGCTTGTATAACAGTAATAATATTCTGTTCTTCTACCACACATATTTTGTGGGGAAATAATAAAAAGAAAAACTACAACTTAGCAGTGAGTTCAGTTTATAATCATATATCATTTCCATGTTTCATAATAACAGTTTCATTTCTGATAATTAGATGGCAGTACAAATTGTTCTTATATAATGACCATTTGTGACTTTTCATTGCACAAACATGATATCTATCAAACTAATTTCAGCAAAAATAAAGAAAGAAAGAGAGAATAATCTAAATTAATGTTCAAGATATCAAGAAGATCAAGTATTTATGCAACTGACTGATCTTTTTACATGTTATTAATGTCCGAGTTAAAAAACACCAGTTTCTTAATTATCAAAACAATACATTATACAGCAGTCTACTTTTCTTCAAATGTTCAGTGGGGTCAAGCTGGAAGCTGTGTGTATATGTGTGGTATCATACTTCACGGCCTGGGATCTGTATGATGTCCTACTTATTAATCGACATGACTCTAACATGTGGTGGAGTCAATTGTATGCAGATGCAGTGAGTTGGGGTGGAGTTGAAAGTGTTCATTCTATAAATATCCCCTTAACATTGGTTCAGTGCTCCAGGGTACTTGTACCATCCTGGAGGAACCATTCCAGTTTCACTGGCCTCCAATGAAATCCAAAATTAGAGAAACTGAGAAAACTGATATCGTATTAACGATTTATATTACCATTGGATTATAAAAATAAAACAGATGTTCACTTATCAACCTACTTCGATGAAATTATTTAAAAAAAAAAGAGGGGAAATAAGTAATAAAACAAATTTTGCAAAAATTAAGTATGATGTAGGGATGACAATGCCAAAAAGTACAGAAACAAGGTAGAAATGAATACACAAAACCATACAAAAATCCATACATAAGTAGCCAGTAAGTACTAAGTCAGTTTTACAAGGTTAGGGTTATTAGTTACAGTAAGACAGTATAGCAATATTCAGTTTAAATACTTTTATTCAAACCTGTATTCATACAACTAGCATGAATTCAACATTTAGTTGTAGATAAAGGTTATTCTTGGAAATATTTGGCTACTTATGTAGTGATTTTTTGTATGGTTTTGTGTATTCATCCCTAATATGTTTCTGTACTCTTTGACATTGCTGTCCTTATATCATACTAAATTTGTTCAAACATTTTTTATTACTTGTGAATTAAAGTAAAATATATATGCATATAAATAGGTTTATCCATGGATTTCACATGTTTTTATGTTTTTCACATTTTATAATGATCCATTGTTTAAGCACATTATAAGTGTAACTTAAAATAACATAATATAGAGC